TCTTCGGATGCATACCACATGCATCCGAAGAAGTGGGCTGTAGTCCACGAAAGCTTATGCTCTAATAAATTTGTTAGTCTCTAAGGTGCCACAAGTACTCCTGTTCTTTTTGCATTTACCTTTAGTTTGTAGCTGGCAAAAAGGTGTTGTCACCACATTCCTACAGACATTTCTGGGTATTTCACACAAAGCATTCTAAGGTTCCTCTCTGTTCAGACTCTTGCCTTCTTAAGCCTCTTACTTAATCCATTTCTCCTTGCTCCTCTTTCAACCTTGCTGAAGTGAACTCATTGACATTCTGGACTCCATTTAGATTGCAAAGAACTGACAAAATAAAGATAAGAGCAAATATCTAGCTAGGAAATTAAAAATGTGATTGTGCCACAGCTGAACCTTGTAATTATGACAGAAGTCTATTCATTAATTAAAATCTCTGCTGGTTTAAATTATTTAAATGTCAGAGTTTACCTGATATAAGTTGAACTGTACTTTAGTCTCGATGAAATGTCTGTTTCAAATGACATCATGTGTGGGGAAACCAGCACCAAACAGGTTAAGATGAGGTGTAAGAACATCTGCAAGTGCATGGGTATCTCAAAGCAAATCCCATCTGGCATTCAGCCTAGGACCTGCTATAAGTTATGAGTGGTAGGCGATGTGATAAGAAATTGTGGGTAATGAGTTTAGAATGCAATACTCTGCCTTTATCTCACACTTTCCATCTTCAAAGCTCTTCTCAGACATGAACTGATTAACCTTTACACGTGTGAGAGGTAAGTGTTTCCTATTGTAACAAGGGGACAATAGGGCAGAGAGGTTAAGTGGCTTCCTCCAAGGAAGTCAGTAGCAGAGCAGAATAAGAATGCAAGAGGTACTGCTCCCCTGAAAGTTTCTTCTCTACAAAGCTTTACTTCTCTCAAATCTTGTTTTTTGGTGCTATGAGAAACATTTTCCCAGTGTTTTCAGTTTCTGCAAGTTAAAAAATCAAGTCCTGCTGCATGTCACTCTATCCCAGTTTAACTGATGCAAGGGGATTTGTTAAGAGCACAGTATGATGATATGCTTTTTGTCTACCTGTCTCCTCCCCCATTGTCTTCGGAGTACTTCATAAACATTCACTAATCTTTACAAATGTCCTGTCAGCAGAGAGGTTAAAGTGACAGGTCCAAGGCCAAAGAGGAAATTGGTGTCCATTCCACTTCTGTAAAATGGATTGATTTCCTCCCCCCACAAGGGATGTGTGGGGATTAATGAGTTGCTGTTTGTAAAGCAGCTTGATGAAAAATAGTAATATTAACCCTATTAACGTCCTCTTTGTCTGTAGTCCTCATCCAAACATTGGCCCCAGGGCCGTTGCAAGGATGTTTCGTGCCCTAGGCGAAACTTCCACCTTGCGCCCTCCCCGAGCCCTGTGGCAGCTCCCCGTCCCCCCGCCCTGAGGCGCTGCCCCCTGCAGCAGCTCCCCACCCCCCTACACTCTGAGGTGCCCTTTCCCCCTTACCCCCACCCAGGGAGCTGTGCGGCAGCTCCCCACCCTAGCTCACCTCTGCTCCGCCTCCTCCCTGAGCACACCATCTCTGCTCCACTTCTCCCACCTCCCAGGCTTGCAGTGCCAATCAGCTGTTTGGTGCCGCAAGCCTGGGAGGGAGAGAAGCAGAGCGGGGCGGCGTGCTCAGGGGAGGAGGTGGAGCAGAGGTGAGCTGGGGCGGGGAGTTCCCCTGCGTGCTGCCCCCCTCCTTACTTGCTGCAGGCGGCCCTCCCCGTGCCCCCCTGCCCCAGCTCCCTCTGCCTAAATGCTGATGACGACCAGGGCGGCTGAAGATCCGGCCGCTGTGGTTGCCGCCGAAGAAAATGCCACCCCCCAAATGCTAGTGCCCATCGCCTAATAGGTTGCACCGGCCCTGATTGGTCCCACACCTGGTCTTTCATGGCAGCTTGTGAATGTCCTATGTCAGCTTGATTTAGGGTCACCCTCTTATCTGGAACCAAAATTAGTTTTATGGTTTATCTTAATGAGGATCCTTCACTGTACTCAGAGTGGAGTTGAGCATCTGAGTCCCCATGGGATGCTGGGTGCTGGTAGTATGAAGGGTGCACAGCAGGGTTTGGGTACTAAAAATAGTCTTCTCTGTCAAGCCTTCTGGCTAGCTATCAAACAGTGGTGTCTGCCACCAAGTGAAGAAGGCATAAATGAGAGCCTAGATTATTGGCAGTTTCATAGTAGAGAAATGGTGAAATAACAAACTAATCTTGAAGGAGGGAGCCGTTCTGTGGTCAGTGCTGTGACTAACAGGGTTCTTTGTACATGTGGAGAAGTGGGTGAGATGTGGGTGGGGAAATTATTCTTCCACGGTGGCAACAGCAAATTTTCGGAGAAAGTGAAGGGACCTTTCCAGCAGTCCCTTGAGTGTAAATGCATGCAGCTCTCACGTCAGCTTTAGATAGAAACCAAATAATAGGTGTGCAATGGTAAATCACTATAGTTGTCCTGGCTGTATACATCGGAAAGCCATTTAGCCTGGATAAAAAGGGAGCCAGACAGTAAGCAAGCCAAGAAGCGAGAGGTACTGTTTAGTAAGGCTTCCTGCTAAAAACGGAACACAGCATTTTTCTCACTGTACTTTGTATTGATTCTGGATCCCTCCATAAATAACTCCTATAATAACAGGATCATTTTTGTCACCGGCCTCCCGGCAGTGTCTCTGCTCCATCTGCTTCATTCACAGGATGTGCTTGTTGTGTTGGCTCTGAGAGCTGAGTAGGAGACTGTGTGCGCAGGCAGACTTAGGTCTTGTATTATGAAGAAGAGGGTGTTTCAGCACACAAGGTCGGTTCAGACCGCGCTTGATTGAGGTAGGCAGCGAGCCAAAGCACAAGTATTCAGCAACTTCTCAGAGCAATGAACTCTGTGAAGTGTGCAGGCCACTCTGCCTGCATGTTCTGAGGGCTGGAGCAAGAGGGGTGCATGACAGGGGTGCACAGAGAGTAGCAAGGCCATACAAGTAATGGCAGATTATGAGCATAGTGGTCATTGGTAGGATTATTATCCAGGGGGCTGCAGTGGTAAGTGCAGCTCTTACCCACGCCTGAGTAGCCATTGTGGGCAATTGAAGTGAGAGAAGGAGCAGCAATGAGGGCCGGCCGTTGACTCAGAAATGTGTGTGAGGGTAACAACAAACCAATATCACTAATCAGTGCCTCATGACCTACGCTGAGCACAGGGTCCTTGTCAACTGGCAGGGCCTGTTCCCATAAGCTTGCTTCATGTTACTGGCTCATGGGTAGCCAAGAGCTATGTTCAGACTGAGCTTTTCCAAGAGGAGCGGAGTCTTTAAGGCAATTACAGTTTGACCCTGGCCTGCATAACGAAGAATGATGGCTCAGGGCTCCACTCTCACAATCTTCATCTTGCAGGATTCTAGATTTCAGTTCCTGATGTTGCCGCTGACTCTTGACGTCTGCCTCAATTCCCTGTCTGTACATTAGAGGTAATGTTCACTGGTGCAGTGTACTTCCCTCTTTGCAGCTGGCCAGCACCATTAGCCAGTGCAAAAGGAATGGGGTGGGACAATGACAATGACTTCACCGCCCCATTCCATCCTTCCTCTGGTCAGCTTGTGCTGATAGAATCAGAGCACAGAGACTGACTATACCTGACCCTTTCAGGTCTACACTACAGCTGGGATTGACACTCTGAGCTCAATCCACCGGTGATCGATTTAGCAGGTCGAGTAAAGACCCGCCAAATCGACTGCAGGTCGCTCTGCAATTGACCTCTGTACTCTACCCCCGAAGAAGAGTAAGGTAAGTCGATGGGAGATTTTTTCCCGTCGACCCCCCGCGGTGTAGACCCCGTGGTAACTCGACCTAAGATACGTCGACTTACAGTAGGACGACTTACCACAGTAGTGTAGACATAGCCCTAGAGGGAGCAGATATTGTCGTCTTGTGTTCTCCCCTCTAGCATTACCAGGCAATGGATGGGTATAATCTGGCCCCAGATAACCTTGGCTCCTCCTGGAGGGTCTACATTGCTGTGCAAAGTCTTATGCTCTGACTGCTTTATGTTTTCCCATAATCATATGCTCATAATCACATGTTTTCCCATAATCAAATAAAAAAGCCAAAAGAACAGGGAAATATTGCTCGTTAATTTCTATGCATCTCTTCCTCTAATGCAAAACAAAAGCAAAGAACTAAACAGTCTGCTTGTGATTGCAAACAAACTACTCTGCAGCTTCTTCCAAAATATCTTTAAGTTGTCTGATGTGACTCACTGGTGTCAGCTGCCCATCATCTGAGCTAATGGTATATTTTAAAATGGAACCAGACAGATAGCTATTAACCCTTATCCAACTCCATGTTTACTAACCACTTAGTCTTTTGGGTTGAGACTGATAGGAACCTGTGCTTTAAGTCACTACTGGATGGTTAAAATAGGTTACCCCAATGTCAGACTTGTAGAACAGTTTCCACTGGTGCAGAAATTCAAAGCAAGCTGTGGTCCAGCCAGCACAGTGAATTGGTATTTTGTTAGCTTTGGAGTGAGATATAAAAAGCTTGTTTGGTTTTTGGCTGTTTGTTAACAGGGTTGGCTCTAAAAACTAACATGAAAGAAGCTACTGTCATAGCTTTTAGTCTCTAAAGGTGACCAGCAAAAGGGGGGGAGAGGAGAAATTGAGTTAGTGCCTTTTTCCTGTCTGAAGACCTGAAAGATGACTGTTTTTTTTTAAACTTTTCTACAAAATGCATTTACAAAATTTATTCTGCTTATTTTTTATCATTAGAAATTTCAAAGCAAAGTGATTTAGACAGTCTAAATATTCTGGCCCTCACTCCTTCAGGGAAGGGAATGTGTTGGCGGTGCAGCTGTTGGGTTGAAGCAGCTTTTGGAATGGTGTTGCAGCCTCTCCACAGGAGATTCTTCCTCATGCCACACCCTACACCCCTTGGGGCAATGGCTACACCTTGGTAAGAGTTCTACCATGAGGTCGCTCTCAGCAAGAACACTGGGCAAGCAGACTTAAAATGGCACTTCAGTGTAGCAATAAGAACATTATCAGGCCAAATGGGGAAATTACAGCAGAATAAACTAGCACCTCTTGCCATTGTAAATATTACTAGGTAGACTTTGTCTGTGAGTAACATGCTTTCCATTTTGGTGTTTCCTGGAGCAGTATGTAATGAGCCAGTGGATGAAGGGATACGTGGAGACAAGATTGGGATCCGACTCTACTATGATAAAACCACGGATCGCTGTAAACCATTTGCATACAACGGTGCTGGTGGGAATGGGAATCGCTTCTTCACTGACAGGCAGTGTATGAAGAGATGCTCTACGTTAGGTGAACAAATCTATCCGGATGATGGTAAGTCAGATTGGCCTTTATTTTGACTTTTCCATTCTCAGCATAGCTTCTTCTAATAGTAGAAGAGGCAAAGTCAGGAGAAGAACCCAAAGCCCATCTGTTGCTATGGAAAGTGATGGCTGCTTAGGATCATAAAGAAGCTGCAGGTTGACCATCAACACTCGCTCCTCTAGCTTTACTCCATCCACATCATCAACAGTGTATCCCCAGTGGGAACGGTACAAGTTAAAATTGCCACAGTAGACTGAAGGTCCTGAGAAAGTGGGGAGGAGAGGAATTGGCCAGTTGGCAGATGGAGGTTTGTAAACATTGATAAGGGTCAGGTCCTTCACTTTTATAGCCTGACATTCGATTATATCATTTGGACCCAATGATGAGACTGGAGTTGCTGGAATGCCTTCCTTGACGTAGGATGCCATCCTAGGTACAGGCAATATCCCTGTAATGGAGGTGAGACACAACAGCAAAGACAGGGATTGACTGTTGAGTGGTAGTGGTAGTATGTATTTCCTGAAACAAGATGACGTGTGCTTTGTATACTACTGCCAGCTGGAGGAGGAGATCCCTGATGGCCACTGAAATTCCTGCAATATTGACCCTGAGTCTAACTGTGTAGGACTCAGAAGGAGAGAAATTATAGTCAGTACATATTTAAAAATCTGTTAAAATTTCCTAAAGATGGTTTTCCTGGACATGATTTGAAGTCTGGTATCTCAGAGCTGGCTAGAAGCAAGTGCTGTATGTTCTACTGGACAGTTTGGGGATCTCCCCTTTACAGTCATAGAAAAACTCCTCTTTTTAGCTCTGCAAGATTATGAGATGTTGGCTCTTAGATATGTAACTGGTGCCAAACTGAATATTGCCAACCCTGAAATAGGAAACACTTCTCTGGCTCTTCAGCCTTATTACATAAACTGTCAAATGTTTGATGGAGATAACTCTGGGTTGTTTTTTTTACTAGTCTTTCAGTTTAGTTTAGTTCCGTCCTATGAGGTAACACTACATTCCTCAAGGTGCTAGTAGTAAATTCCAGCCTTTAAAGTATTTCATAACATTAAAAATTCAGCTCATACTAAATACTGTAACTTCCTGATCCTCTCCCCCTGGCAAGATTTCACCACCTTAACTACTAGAATTGCATCTGGGTGTCTTGGACATTATTTTTAGTGTTTAAAGCAAGTCCAGATCCAAACTATGACTTGGGTCCTTCTCTGCGTCTAAAAGTTAAGGGCTGTGGATATGAGGTGTTGGGTCATTCTCCAGCACTCCACAGAAGGTCTCTATTTAAGGCCCTGTAAATTGGTGGCTGATTTATTCTCATTTGGATATTGTCAGTCAGTTCAGAGTTTGGGTTTGCTGTGTATATAAGCAACCAAAAGTATGGGTGCTTATCTGAACTGCTTTGGGAAACTAATGAAGAACATACCGTAGTTTCTCAGGAGACTCCCATGGTTTCCCACTTCAGAGCAGGTGAAAAATCCTAATAACCACCCCTTCCTCCTGCTGTCTTTTACCATTTCTTCTTCCAGTTCCATCTGGAACCTGGAAACAAACCTTCAAAAAGCCTACTTCAGTGCTAGAAACAGGCAGAGGCCTGGGGGAAAGGGAGTTTGAGCCAGTTCTGCCTTTTGTATTCAGATTGCAGCTGAACACTGGGAACAACTGAGCTTGAAATATTACTTTGCATCCAGTAAAGGAGAAGGAACTAGGAATGTTGCAAGGATAAGTCCCAGGAAATCTCCCATTTGTCTGTCCCATGGACAAGTCTATGAGTGTATGAATTAGGATTCCCTCTCAACTATCCCAGGGTGAAATGCCCCCCAATTACCAGGCAAGTCTCATTTCAGCCCATCCTAAGTTAAGGGCCTTGTGCTAGCCCTGCGAACAGTGAGGCATTTTGCCCAGAGATGCTTGCTCACAACGTTAGAATAGAAACTGACCAGGACAAAAGTGTTCTGAGCCATCAAACCTGTTTGTTCATATACGTCCAGTAGAGCGAAGTGGCACTAGGATCAGATATATGCAGGGAACAGTGGAGAGTTATTTAAACAAAGCTAGAATTCAGTATGTGCAGCACAGAGGCAAATGCCTTGGGGCTTACAACAAAGAGTGCAGGAGAAATACCATGCAGAATATTTTGGCTACAAACATACTTGTTTAATGTAGGGGGGGAAATGATACAGTCTGTGTACAGTTACAATTTACAGACACAGAAACAGCTGCCATGCTTCTACTGCTGTGTACTGTACAAACAGAAATTAGGGCTGAAAAAGACCCATTAGTTCACCCTGTCTATCTCACTGCCAGTGCAGGATGGTTCCTGGCAGTATGTTTTCTAGTGCTTGGCTTGGGACATATATAAATAGATTGGACAAGGTTTCATCCACCACTTCCTCTGGAAGTCTCTTCCATAGCCTACTAGCTCTTGCTATTAGGAGACTTTCAATATTTGCATTCAGTATTTTCAATGCAAAAGTTCATGCTTTGTGTTTTTCCCCATGTGACTTAGTTAGCTAACTGGGACTTGGGCTCCTAAATTACTTAAGAGCTCCTTTACATTTTCCTTGTGGTTTTGTTCTCTGATTGACTGATTTGGTTAACTCCAACACAGCATGAGTGCCAAATGTTTCAGTCTAATGGACGGTGTTGGGTTCCACTTCAGCAGGAGGTTTGTGAGAACCTAAGAGTTCTTCTCTGTATCCCCAGGTTTCAGAGTAGCAGCCGTGTTAGTCTGTATCCGCAAAAAGAAGAACAGGAGTACTTGTGGCACCTTAGAGACTAACAAATTTATTAGAGCATAAGCTTTCGTGGACTACAGCCCACTTCTTCGGATGCATATCTGTATCCCCAGTGCACTTTATGTAAAATGAGTCAGGCTTTTTTTGTTTGTTTAATACACCCAAGCTTACTTAACTAGCCCTCTCCAAAATCTTTAGACCAAACATGTTCATAATGCTGTAGTCATAGTGGAATGAAATCAGTTGCGCTAGATCAGTGGTTCTCAAACTTTTGTGCTGGTGACTCCTTTCACATAGCAAGCCTCCGAGTGCAACCCCCCCTTATAAATTAAAAACACTTTTTAAAATATATTTAACACTACTATAAATGTTGGATGCAAAGCGGGGTTTGGGGTGCAGGCTTACAGCTCATGACCCCCCCATATAATAACCTCCTGACCCCCTGAGGGGTCCCGACCCCTAGTTTGAGAACCCCTGTGCTAGATAGACAATGATCTATTTTGACCAATGAAAGGATGTAATGAATACTCCTGAGCACTTAATAGTGTTAGAAGCATGAGTACACAACCATGATTTTACTTGCAAGATTGCGTTTGAAGAGACTGTCACATGAAATTTACATAAGCAGTTACTGTAAGTGTTAGCAAGCCCTAAAGCTAGTTAAAGGAAATAACCCTGTTGGCTTTCACCCTGATGTCACTCACACTGTGGCATAGAGGAAGATGGGCAGTTTAACAATTGATTAGACTGGTATGTAAAACTGCAAAACATAGGAGAACTTTCAGTTTAAAAGAATTCCTTACCAGTTATGAATAACATCTTAGGTAATTAAAACTGGAGACTTTTTTAAAAAATGGAATTGGCTTATTTCATTTACTCTTTTCTGTTTTCTTTACGCAAACGGAGTGAAATATATAGTCACTTTCTCCTTTGTTTATACTCTGCAGCATTGTGCTAATGCATGACCGAAGATGAAGCAAGGTTTGGGTTGCAAATACTACAAGGGAAATACTTTAGTTGTTCAAAAAGACTTCTACTGGAATCCTTGAGATCATTTTAATGTAAAATCTGTAATACAGGCCCAGATAGGCAAGGCCTTTGGGAGATCTTGTGAATGTCTGCCTAGGATTTAATTTCTTCCCCCAAAGCTCCTTTTCTGCAGCTGGAAAAGAGATTGTAGTTCCTTGTCTTGTCTGCTGTACACAGTGCTCCACTATTGCTAATTTCTCCTGCAGCTGTAAGTACTGCTGCTACCAGAATGTGCTCTATGAGATCAGTGCCTTTGAATTCATCTGCCTTCCTTCAGGGCTCAAGTTTGGAGCAAATTTGTACTGCTCATCTTCACAATTATAATTCTTGACACTGTCCTGCCAATTACATGGTTGCTCTGAAGAGTTTCTTATATGAAGGTACTAGAGTAAAGAATCCAGGGCTTTGGAGCGGAGCCCGGAGCTGGAGCGCGGAGCAGTGGAGCTGCAGGTTTTTGCCTGGAGCTGGAGCAGAGCTGGAGCACAGTTCCAAAGCCCTGGTAAAGATTATTATTTCCTTATCCAGGTTGTGCTGTGGAAGTGTGAGAATGAATGTGTTTGCCTCTGAAGGAGGCATCCAATTCTCTGAGCTCACATCACCAATTACCCAAGATCTCAAAGTAGCCTTTAAAAATGTCCATTCTAGGGATTGTATTTTGCAGATATGCTCAGAAATGACAGAATCAGGTATGTTTCAACAGTTGTCTCAAAGTTTTGAGCTGTTGTCAAGGGCAGGAAAGAGCTGTCACTCTGGGCAAAACACAAATTATGGGAAAGGTCAAATTTCTTCTAAGAGTGGCACATCATCACATTGTGCCTTTAGTCACCCTGAGTTACCAGTATGAAGGAGAGGAAAACAATCTTTCAGTGTGGTTTAAAACAAATAGAACAAGATCTTCAGCTGGTGTAAATCAATGTATAGCTCTATTGAAGTAAGTAGAACTACATCAGTTTATACCAGCTGAGGATCTGGTCTATAATTCCAACTCTGCCATAGACCATGTCAGCAGAACGCTGAGTCCCACTCTTTCTAGAGAATCTTTTGTGTTATCCAATCCGTATGGATCCTGTCCATAATAAGCAATTTTGATCAGGTTACCTTAATTCCAATCTGTTTCTTGTGTCACATTTACAGGAACACAATTGCTCTGTAGATCTCCGATACATACTTGAATTTGAGTTTAGAATAAATACAGCTTTTTTCACTATGGGACTATGTACATATTCTACAACTGTGAGAATCCTTATTAGGCTATTACAATTGTAATGCTGCAAAAAATGTCATCACCACTGAGAATAAGCCACTTGGAATGGAAGGGACCCACCTCAGAGTGTTATAGGAAAACCATTAAACCCATGGAGTGGAAATTCAGATAGTTTCATTCAGAGCTACAGTATAAAGAGGGGGAATGAAGGGGATTAATTCTGGGCTTTGAAATTACCTTACTTTGTGTCAGGGTGCCCCCTGGAAATACACATAGGGAACTGGGGTGGAAATAATCTATCCAAGAAAGCATCAATTGTCTCTTTACTTTGTGTGTTCTTAAATCTGAATACTGCAACAACTGCAGTCAGCTGGACCCCCCTTTTTATAAAAGAGGGGGTAGCTGGCAGGGCACGCTCTGTGAGGGTTCCAGGATTCTGAAACTTGCTCCCTCATTGGTCCAAAATGGCCTGAACTTGGTGACCCTTTGGGTGCTCTGCATTTGTTTGATGGGGTTTCTGGAGAGGGCTCTGAGTATGTACTTCCTACAACAATACAGGGGGAGGGTAGAGGGGGAGCTCCTGTAGGTGGCTGGCTGGCTGAGCTGCTGAGTGATTACTGTAAAGCTGCTGGGATTTCATTGTATTAGTGATGTATTAGACGGCCAAGAGCCTTGGATCGGTAGCTTTAAAATTAGCATTTAAATTTACAAAAATAAGAACATGATCACACAAGTTTTTTATTGAAAGCTTTTCCTCTTCTTGAAAAGGGGCTGTGACTTATAACATTATAATTCAAAAAAGCTGTTATAAACCATTTGTTGGCGATACCACCAAGAAATCATGTGTAATACTCTTTAAGTGCATTAGGCTTAGATTCTTAACCAGGGATAGACATTCTGAACTCGATGTGTCACTCACTCAACGTTCTCAGCCTTTCTTTCCTAAAATATATAACACCACTGGCTTGATCTGAAGGAAAATAGCTCCCCCTCTCCCCCCCCGCCCATACACTGTTATATATTATAATTTCACCAAGAAGTCTCAGCTGAGATCAGGGACCCGCTATATAAACACATGAGACAGTTCATACCCCAGAGAATTTAAAATCTTAAAACTAGAATACTCCCCCATGAAGTGATTTTCCCAAGGTCACGCCAGATCAGTGGCAGAGTCAAGAACAGAACCCAGAGCTCTTGGGTCCTAGGTCACTGTCCTATCTACTACTCCACACTGCTGTGTATGTGCAAGAAGTCTGGGCCAGGATATGAGACTTTCAAGTCCTACACCACATGTCATAGAGGAATTGGTTCCTACTAACACACAGGAGTAAGTTATGCCCTTGGTTACTTGTGCAACCTCATTGAACTAATGGGTGTAACTGAGTAGACTTTGGCCCATTATACACCTGCCATTAAGCTAATCAAATATGTTGTATATCTTATCCTCTTAGTATATCTATGATAGGTAACCCTGGCTTTCTTATTGATAACAAACTAGTCTGCTAGAGCCCAGACTTGATAATCTTCTGGAGAAACACTGAAGAGCCCCTCTATGCAGACATTTGAGGATGAGATTGGCTGAGGAATGCATTGTAGTTAAGGGACTTTATTACAGTATATGTTGGTCAGTAGAAACTGATCATATCACTTTGAATTCAGCGGTTTTGTGTGTGAAATCCTGTATTTTAAATTACTGTATGGTGCTAAGCAGATCAGAACGAAAGAAAACAGATTAGGCTAATTCAGAGTTGCTTCATCTCCAACGTTCTTATTTTAACCTTTTGTTCTTCATACAGACCGTGTTTGCCTCTTGGAGAAGGATCTTGGACATTGTAAAGGGACCTACTTGTTGTGGTATTTTGATCATGCGCTGAAGAAGTGTAGGCCCTTCATTTATGGAGGTTGTGCAGGAAATGGAAATAGATTTGTTAATGAGACAACATGTTGCTGGAAGTGTGCTCAGGGTATGTACAGTGCACTTTATGGTACTTTCACATAGAGATGTGGGCATCTAAAGGTCCATTACCCACTGTCCTGATTAGGTGTCACTTGCTTTAGGCAGAGCTGGTAGCACTGCAAATAGCTACAGTTGCCTAATATGTTCCATTATAAAACCCCATTTTCAGGTGCTGATAACTTGGACAAACTTTAACTGTTTACATTGAAATTGTCCAAGCCAGGCGTTTATTCAGTGCAGCATGGGACGGTGACCTGAGGCAAAGAATTAATTGCATCATTTTTTTTATTATACTCATCTCTGTCATATATGAGTGCTTCACAAATATTAATAAACTTACCTTAACACACACACACACACACACACACACACACACACCCCTGTGAGGTAGAAAGGTATTCTCCCCATTGTACAGATGGGAAACGGAGGCACAGAGAGGTGAAGACCAAAATTGTCAAGTATCTTCTAATTTTGGATGCTCAGTTTGAGATGCCTAGAGCCTGATTTTTTCAGAATATTTATCACTTTATATGTTCAGATCACAGCTGCTATTGACTTCAGCTGCAGTTGTGGGTGCTTGACACTTCTGCAAATCAGACCCCAGGTGTCTCAAGTTGGGCATCTATAAATAAAGAACACTTAATGGCCATCTATGAAAACTTGGTTTACATGACTTGCCCAGTATCACATAGAAATCTGTGCCAGAGGCAGGGGTAGAATCCACTTCTCCAGGGCAGCATTCAACTGCCTTAACCAGGAGACCCTCCTTTTTCTTCCTGCAGTCCCCAGCCTTCAAACTTTCTACAGCAACGAGGCCAATAGTCTTACAGACAACAGCACAATTCCCTACACAATCTTGATTAATTGAGTAACATTCATCCTGTGCACTGAATGAGGCAGGACTCCTGTGGAATATGGCATGAGATCATGTAATTAAAACTGTATTATAATGCATATGCACGGGGGCCTAAATTAATTTTGTTTGAGTTCCTGATTTTACAACCTTAAGGTCCTCTAATATTTGTTTTGTATGTAAGTATTAGAGAGCCGACACCTTGACTGACCTCAGGTGGCCATCCTTGGAACTGCCTACGCAATAAATAACACTAGTGACAAAACATGACTTGTCAGTGTGGCTGCTGCTTATCCCTCATATCCTTTTATTGCCAAAGTTACCTGTGCTTCTCAGAGACTTAGTGTCTGTCTCTCTCTCTCTTCTTGCTGAAAAACACAACTGACATTAACAATTAAAATGAAGCTGACCTTTGTGTATTTTACTTCTTTTAGTATAAATACCCTGAATATGCAGAGTGCTACCAACTTAGGGCCGAATTCTGGCTTTAGATATTCATGGATGGCTCCTGTTGAAGTCCATGGTAGCTGTCTGCACATATTCTATAGCAGAACATTATGCGTAGGTCTTTAAGTAGGGTACGAATTGTGTTCTGCTATGCTCAGCAGATGTTTTTATGCTGTAGCACTGATTCTTAGGGCCACATTCTAAAGAGACATGCACCCTGTGCATAGCCCCCATAGGATTTTTTTAGCCATCATTTTAATTAGACTGTTACTTTCAAACTGTTACCTTACAATCTGAATAAGGATGGTCGGATCCAGCTCTCAATCAGATGGTATGTATTACAGAAGTTTCATGTTTATTCTTTGTATAAAACATAAAGGATGATTTTAATCTGAATTCCTTGGTATCAGCATTCCAGAGATCATGTACAGCTAATCTTCCTAGTCAGATTCTCCCCAGCAATCCACATTTTATTCCTCTATTGGCAAGTCACTTGTAACACTTCCTTCTTCCAAACACTCAAAGTGGATATTTTTCAATAGACAAAGAGGCTCTAGTACCCATTGTGTGACATTCAAATTGGCCTTTTACAATTTCATGTATTTGATAACTTGTGTACACCACTGCTCTCTGCTGGATGTAATCAAACTTGCTCAAGCATTTGTAACTTACCTTGACCACTAAAGGCTGCTCTACAAGCTATCAGTCTGGCTACATTCGAGCTAATGAAGAAACTTCTGTAGCTTTTCTGTTTTATTCATAAACACCACAATTCAGGAAAGCACATAAGCAAGTGAGTAAAGCATGTGCTTAAAGTGCTTTACTGAATTGGGGTTGCAATGAAAAAGGAAGCTAAAAATAACACTGAATTCATTATCATAATGCCAAAGACCAATGTGTGGTAATGTATGTGCTTTTAGCTCCTGTGTGTGAACAAACAGGAAAGGAAGATGAAGGGCCTGATGTAGGTAAGCTGATACCTTTTTATTTAATAGTAATTCACCAGTCAATGCTATCTGAAGCAGTTATTACTTGGATTATTTTATTCTAAAAGTAATGAATTGCAATGGTAGCCAATCATTCCAGTAAGCTCTAATGGTCTCCTATTACTTTCCCACTATGTCAGTGGAACAACTTAATTGAAATTACATTACATTGAAGGGACAGACGCAGGTTAAAATTCATAAATATTAATCATAAATATCATCCCACTAAATTAACAAAGGCCATTTAAAAACAATTGACCCATTTGCCTGGTTGGTTTGGCTCAGATCCAGGAAGGGATGTAGGCATTGGAACGCTGAGTGTCATGGCACCTAGAAAATCAGAGAAACAACACTGCAATCCACATAGTCTGAGTTAGGCGCCTTGGTGCTCTATACAATGAATGGGAAGAGCTAGGCACCTGAGAGTGTGATGCTAGAGAGGGAGCCGCTTAAGGTACCCAATGGGAGATGCTGACCAGAAGGGTGTGTGTGCTAAGCCCTGTTCTTCTCAGAGATAGGTGCCAAGACCAGACTGCAGGCTAGCTCTGGTGGCAGCCCACAAACTGGGGGAAGTTAGGCAGTCAGCCTCTTAAGTGGCTCACAAAGCCCAAAACAAAATGGCCTGTGGGCAGGGGGTAGGGAAAGAGGAGCTCCCTTATAATCTTTAGCCTAGTTAGGGTACTCACCCAGGATGTAGGAGACGGTCAGTTTAGGTCCCCCTCTGCCTGAGTTGGAAACTGGATTTGAATGGGGATCTGCCATCTTCAGGTGAGTGTCCTGACCACTGGGCTTTGGGATATTCTAATGCAGATCTTTTGTTTAGTCTGTTTTGATCCTTCCAACTTTCTGCTTTTCATATTGTTTGACGCTGAACTGCTGTACGCGCTCATGGGAATATGCACAACCAACAGAATCATGCTGGGATCCAGAGCTGAGGTCTTGGGAAGCTGAGATAGGGGCACCATTCTCAAGGGAGTTGAGGGGTTGCAGAGAAACCCAAAGAGAAGCACTGTTTCAGGGATGCAGGTTATTTAATCTGATATGCTTGGGGGTAAACCCTCTGCTCAACCCCCAGAAGGGAGGAATCCTCTCGCCCAGGCTGCTGTGTCCCCCACAGATGACCTGCTCCTGGCTGATCATCACCCTTGCTGACTGGTCCACTACCAGGCAGGGCCCCTCTGCAGAACTGCTGGGCTATGCAGGGTGATCGTACTCCCCACGCATACCTCTGGTATTCCCACCCTACTGCTTCCAGTGCTATGGGCATCTTCACAGCTGTGGAGTCAGGGGGAGGATTTGCCTCTTGTTGGATAATATGAGATGCTCTGATGTTCCCATCTTAAAGTCAAACCTGGGTGGGGGGAAAGGCAGAACCACATTCTCCCTCTGAGTGGAGGGATACGCAGCCTGATGGAGTGGGGAGAGAGAAGTCTGCAAATCTCATGGAATCTGAGGATCTGTGGGAAAAGTGGAGCATCCCTCCTACATGCCCCCTATATATTCCAGAGGATGTTCTTTCCTTCTGGCCTACTCTCTGAGGACCGGTCTACACCAGGGCCACAAGGCTTCCATAAGATCTTTGCTGCCATGGGCCAGTCTCTCCCTTTTCCCCTCCACAAGCTGAATGCTAGACCCATCTCCAGCAGTAGTAACTCCCGTTCACATCTGCCACCCTATTCAATCCATTACTCGATCAGAAATACACCAGGTCCTGAGGAGAACATGCTGCAGGCCATGGCTGCTCCCTGGCTAGGCTTCCTCCCACTGAGACCCAACTCCATATTCAGAGGGAGGGAAGCATGCTGTGGTGGTGTTCTTCCCCTTTACCAGGGCAATGGAGGGGACCAATCGCATCCTTAGGTTCCAGAACATGAATAACTTCCTTGTTGCTGCTGCCAGTTAATACCATGGCTGCCCACTCTAGCACAAGTCAAAATTTTGGGGCTTATGGCTCAGCACTGACCTGCCTCTCCATGGGGTAAATTGACAGGTGATAGTTCTTGTACTGTCCACCTACTGTGGACAGGGCACCTGATGTGCAATAAGGTACCAAAGAAAGTGTATCCAATGTACTGGAGGAATCGGATATAGAAGGGCTGCTTCTGTCATCAGCAGAAGTAACACAAGACGAAGTCATTCGTAGAGCGGTGGCACTGTCACCAGCTCTGCCCTGAAGCTACTGGTGCACAGGCAGCAGTGGAAACCAACACAATCTGCCTGCTTTCTCAGACATTCAGTCTTCTGTTCTGTCTCTGTCATTGGTGAAACGAAATGTAAAGACACAAGACATCTATTCTCTCCAGTTAACCATGCACTGATTTTCCTGCAGGCTTGGTGCTTGGAATCACTGTGGGATGTACTGCAGCAGTTATCTTGGTATCTGCACTCGCCATTTTCATTCAGAAAATGTAAGACTTATGCATTCCATTCAATACAGGTGTTTGGGACTGTGGATATTGTATGTGATATTGTAAATCCAGTGACTTTTCTCCAAGGGGATAAAAACTCACCTTCACTTTGGAGGTGGGTGGTGGCTCAATCTCAATCTCTGTTTCCACACTCATCGAGACTAGCACATGTATTATAAAATGAATATAATCTAAAAACTTTTCGTAGTTTAAAAAAGCCTGGGAGGAAATCAAATGAGGAGTGATAGCTATAAGGAAAGCTACGTTATTAGAGTGAGCTTTCACATGGCAAGTTAAAATGCAACTGTGGATAGTTTGGCATCTTCCTGGGGTTCATAAACCCAAACTGATACAAGCGGGAGCTGGGTCTCATTTTATCTTGTTCCAATGTTTGATACTCTTCCAGTGTGGCTGTGCTTATAGATCCTCCACGGTGTGAATTGTCATAGTGTCATTGACTTCAGTAAATAATAAATTTACTTCAGTAGAGCTATGACGATTTACAGCATCTGCAGATCTACCCCAATGTCTTGTATGGCTGAACTGTTCTATTTCCCACTTGCCTTGTTATTTACATATGAAATAATTTGGATTAGATAATGTTCAGAAAGTGGTCAACTGTATTATCTGGTTGACAGGAAGGGGATTTTTTAATGCGAGTACAACATTAACCGGGTTTAAATACTGGATCATTAAGAGGGGGGACACTTAGGCTCAGAACCTCAAAGGTATTTAGGCTGCTAACTTCCATGGAAGTTAGCAGGCTAAATACCATTGAGGATCTGGCCTTAATTCATTAGGCTACACAGTCTATGGGAATGGGTAGTCCTGTGGTGGTATTTCTTGCTCCTATATTTTTCTACTTGTGAAGCAAACCTGTTGAAACAAGGAAAATTTGAACTAATGAATTGCTAGAGTTCAAGCATTTGATTCATACCAAGATCCACATTCAAGCTTGCTTTTTAAAAAAAAACAAATCAGACTTAATTTACTTTGTTTTGGTGCTTCAAAATAAAATATAGAAGAAGCTGGAGAAACAAGAGTTTTGCAGCAGCATTATATCTTTAGCCCACATTCATCCCCAGTGTATTTATTTTACCTGTAAACATCTCCATTAACTGACTCCTGACCCCTGAGTGTGCTATTGGCATAACACTCTCAGCCTCGCATACTTTTTATAAGAAGTAGAGCAGGCCAAATCATGGTGCTATCAAAGTTAATGACAACCCCTCTTGATTTCAAGGGGAGCCGGATAGGTTTCTGTTGGCTTGTGTAAAACAATGTGACAAATAGGGGACAGTGTTAAACATATGCATTGTTTGGAAAAGAGAATGAACCTACAATGGAACGGTTGCGCTAATTTAATCTCTCTCTCTCTTAATTGTCCAGAGTGAAGAAATATTCAACTAGAGAAAAGAAGCAAAATAAGCCCCTGGCTAATATGGAAATGTACTAACCAGAAAGAAAAACCTTCTTATTTCCTTGGATTAATGCAGTGAATTCCTTGATTTGTATCATATGGTTTTGTTATATGAAATATTGTTTATACTTTCTAAAGAACCTATAAAATGCGTACTGGGATTTATACATCCTATTCATCCGGACCAGTGTATGGGAGAGCTCTCATCCCATTTGAGGGACATATGTAAGAAATCCCAAAGCTTAGTGTCAGGGTGCACTAGTGCTAACTTAACTCAAAATACTGTATCTCTGAACTAAATCCTGCTTTTAGCTACACAGCTGGAAATGAAGAATAACTCCACAGAGCTTAGTCTAAATTGTTTATGATGTTGTGGGTAACTGGACCATATGTGCTTTTAGTGAGTCTGTTCTCCTCGCCTCAGGCACATGCAGAATTTCCATTAATGCTAATTAGCAAGACAATGTTCTCCCAAGACTTCTTGTGGCTCAGTAGTGCGCTGTATGAGATGCTTTCCAAACTCCTCATCAGAGAATCTGTACTGAGATGGTAGTTCCAAAATCATCTGCATTATTAAATGGTGCTGTAACACTTAAGTCACCTGCTGTACCTGTGCCAATTGTCCATGTGCAGTGCAGAATGCAGCCAAAAATGAGAGAGAGCAAAGGAATGCAAAAGTACATTCCTCAGAAGTACTGGAATGCAACAAGCGACAAAGAGTCCTGTGGTACCTTATAGACTAACAGACCTATTGGAGCATAAGCTTTTGTGGGTGAATACCCACTTTGTCAGATGTCTGATGAAGTGGGTATTCACCCACAAAAGCTTATGCTCCAATAGGTCTGTTAGTCTATAAGGTGCCACAGGACTCTTTGTCGCTTTTTACGGATCCAGACTAACACGGCTACCCCTCTAATACTGGAATGCAACAGGCAATCCTCTGATCTTTACTGCCCCCATTATTACAATGCTCAGTGTTGCATGTTACTGTAGAAAGTCTACTGTTTTTTTTTTCTTTAGTACACTTATATTGATATAATATAAGCTGTCAGATTGCTGAACCATTAAATTATGGCCTTCTATGTTGTCTGCCTGCCTGCCTGCACTATTTCTTATCACTTAATTGTGCCCTTTATGTTACAGAAACAGGAAGTTTGCTTCCTTTATGTTAAAGAAGCCAAATTCTAAGTCAAGTAACTGTTTTTCTTTAAAGTGTAAGGCAAATATATTTGCAGCAAGAGAACAGTCCCCAGAAGGTACAGAAGCATCACCTTCTTATCTCTAATGTAAATTAACACACTGCACTTTTTCAAAAATAGAAAAATATTCACAAGACATATTCCTGTGAATAGATTTCAGAGTAAGCAAGCACCATGGGCTGTACCACCATAAATAAGAGATGGCTTGAATAACTTCTGTCTCACCACATACAAATTTCATTTAGTCTGCTTCATGCTTACTTTTAAATGTCCAGAGCTATAGTAAATGCATGGGGGCTGAGTGCATTTGGACATTAGAGGCCAAGATGATACCACCTATTATTGGATAGGGGATTGCTACCTCAGGTAAAGTTGGTAGTTAAGGTTACCCAATACTGTCCCTTATAAGACCCTGTTTTTAGTGGCTTATAACTTTGCCAAACTATAACCATTTGGGCTGAACATTTTCAGACTGAATTTTTTGGAAAGCTTCAACAAAAAGAGTTCAGCCATTTCAGAGAATGAGATTAAGGAAAAAATATAATTTTGATTAAAAAAATCTTATTCTTATTTACTTCTGCTTTCTTTCCATTCTCTGATGTGCTTCATCCCTTCTCTTAAAGCTTCCTTGGCCCCATCAGCAATCAGACCCTCCACCACTGTATTGCATCCAGCTGAAATCTGTTAGCACTGGATACCATATAATAACCTATTTCACCATGAGATCTCTTCCGCTTGATACAGGCTGAATCTCCTGGGCTCCTGTATATCAGTCATTTGACAGGTACGTCCTTCTGCATCCAAGGAGACAGTGACAGCTTCCTACCATATAACCAAGTGAAGGTCTTAAAGCCAAGGCATCTACTTCCTTTCTCTCATTGATCTAAAAAAGTGACCCATGTTGTTAATATATAGAACTAATTACACCTACAAAACAAGAGTTGTGTTCCATATTCAGGACCTGTCAATACTACAATTTACCTATGTTGGAAGAAAAAGAGAGCTAGACAAATTTATGAGTGCAGTTGTATGACGGGTTGCTTGTGATAGTAGGGGACAAAGCTCAACATCCCTTGGACTCTCTTCTGGTTTATGTCTCATGTTTCTAAAGCTCATGCTATAGCATTTCAGATGGCCACTGCAGAAGTGGGCCAGAGATGGGTTGAGTGGGCCAGGGCTCAGGTGGTACAGAGCATGTTCTCAGGTGTGTGGCTGGCTGGTTCTTGCTCACATGATCAGGATCTAACTGATTGCCATATGTTGTTACAAGGAGGAGGGAGAAAAATTGTTTTTCTTAACCTCTGAGGATAGGACAAGAAGCAATGGGCTTAAATTGCAGCAAGGGAGGTTTAGGTTGGATACAGACGCTACCCGACTTACGCAAGCATTCTGTTCCAAAACGCCTTGCGTAACTTGAATTTTGTGTAAGTTGGAAATGTATACCCGACCATTACGCAAAAAAAAATACGTCAAAACCCCCCTATTTTTAGCTTATGGAACTTTTTCCATAAGTGTGGATTTGCGTAAATTGGGTTTGCGTAACCCGGGGGCGTTTGTATTAGGAAAAACTTCCTAACTGTCAGGGTGGTTAAGCACTGGAATAAATTGCCTAGGGAGGTTGTGGCATCACCATCATTGGAGATTTTTAAGAGCAGGTTAGACAAACACCTGTCAGGAATGGTCTAGATCAATGCATCTCGCGGCCCATCAGGGTAATCTGATTGCGGGCCGCGAGATGTTTGCTACCGTTGACCATCCGCAGGCCCAGCTCCCCGCAGCTCCCTGTGGCTGCGGTTCGCTGTTCCCGGCCAATGGGAGCGGCGGGCTGCAAGGACGTGCTGGTCACCGCTTCCCACAGCGCCCATTGGCTGGGAATGGCGAAGTGCGGCCACTGGGAGCTGCGGGGGCCATGCCTGCGGACACTCAACGTCAGCAAAATGTCTCACGGCCCGCAATCAGATTATCCTGATGGGCCACAGGTTGCTCACCACTGGTCAAGATAATACTTAGTCCTGCTATGAGTGCTGGACTAGATGACTGGACAGGGGACTGGACTAGATGACCTCTCAAGGTCCCTTCTAGTTCTACGATTCTATATTGGGTTGGGAAGGAATTTCCCCTCAGCTGATTGGCAGAGACCTTGGGGATTTTTCACCTTCCTCTGCAGCAGGGCCGGCTCCAGGCACCAGCCTGGCAAGCAGGTGCTTGGGGCGGCCGCTCCGGAGAGGGGTGGCACGTCCAGGTATTCGGCGGCAATTCGGTGGACGGTCCCTCACTCGCGATTGCAGCTTTTTTTTTTTTTGGCTGCTTGGGGCGGCCAAAACCCTGGAGCCGGCCCTGCTCTGCAGCGTGGGCATGCAGTTCACTTGCTGGGAATATCTGGGTATCTCTCTAGTAATCGTTTCCCTGCCATTGTACGGTCCTTGGGCATGGGGGTACCTCGGTCCCACCTATTCTCTGCTTGTGGCACATAATAGTGGGCTGTAATATTTTGGTCTAATTTTGGTTGTTGGGTTTAATGTGCAGGTGCTCGGCAGGCTTAGTGGCATGTGATATACATGTCAGACTAGATGATCTGATGGGCCCTTCCTGCCCTAAACCATGATGATGACTCTCTGACGAGCCAGGCTGGGGAACAGCTGGTACGCACCACAGCCAGTACCAGCATCCCTGAAACCATCACTTGACTCACGACTCCCACGGAGGTGAGCTAGGTGTGCCTGAGAGCGTAGCCAGGGGAAGCGCTGGCTGGCAGTGCAGCCTTCCCTCCTGGGGCACATTTCATGCCCGCTGGGAGCCCCTTACTCTGCTTGCCATGGGCTCCTGCACTGTCCTCTGCTAAGTGGGTTGTAGCCCACAAAAGCTTATGCTCTAATAAATTTGTTAGTCTCTAAGGTGCCACAAGTACTCCTGTTCTTTTTGCGGATACAGACTAACACGGTTGCTACTCTGAAACCTGCTGCAGGCTTGTGAACCGTGCTCCTCAAAGGGGCAAACTGTGGCCCGAGCTGCTGCATGCGTACTGCTGCAGGAGCCGCTGCTTCAGGGCCGGGCAACAGGCTGCTACTTCCCCCCCAGCCCACAGTAAGCAGACTTTTAGTGTCCGGTCATTAAATGTGACCGGACGCTGCAGTGGAAAATGGTCACCAGGCAACCCCACCCCAATAGCCAGGTGTTGGCAGCAGTCCCCCACCTTTCAAAGAATCTGGGCGGAGCTTATTGTATGGGCGGAGCTTGGAAGAAACCCCTCCCCAACGGCTGGCCGGACGGGAGGGAAGCGCGGAAGGGTCGGCGGGTGGATCGCGGCGGGGCGGACGGGAGGACAGCGCGAAAGGGCCAGCGGGCGGATCGCGGACGGAAGGGCAGCGCGGAAGACCCGGCGGGTGGATCACAACGGAGTGGACGGGAGGGAGGTGCAGAGGGCCGATCGCGGCAGGGCGGCGCGGAAGGCCCGGCGGGCGGACCGCGGCGCGCGGACGGGAGGGCGGCGCGGAAGGCCCGGCGGGCGGATCGCGGCGCTGGCTCTAAGATGGCTGTTGTGAGCGGGGCGCAGTTGCTGTGAGGAGCCGCCCGCCTGTGCCATGGAGTGCCCGCACCTTGGCTCCAGCGTCTGCATCGCGCCCGCCTCGGCCCGGTTCCCGCAGGGCTCGCCCTCCTCCTGGTGCTGCAGCGGTGAGTGTCCCCGGCGCGGCTCGCACGGCAGGCCCCGGGCCCCGCGGCCTAGGCGGCGCCCGCCGACCCAATCCGGCCTCGGGAGGGAGCCCGGGAGCCGCCTCCCCAACGCGGGCCGGGCTGGCTCCGGGGAGGGGGCGCCGGGGACCCCATTGTCCCCGCTGCCGCCTGGGCCGGGGCGGGCTCCGTGGGTGAGGGGCTGGGGCGGGAGCGCGGACCCCTGGAGAGCCGGTGCCCGGCTCAAGCTCCCCTCCCCCAGCGGGGCAGCTCCTCGCGGGGCGTTAAGCTGCTCCCCCGCCATCGCTTGCCCCCGCCACACGCACCCCTCAGGCCTTGCTCGGGGGTCCCGGCTGCACAGGTCCCTCCCTGCAGAGCTTTGTGCGGGCTCTGGGACGGGCAGGGTCTAGCAGGCTGAGCTCATGTGCCGGGCGGGGAGAGTGTCTGGTCCCCCCCCCGGTTCATGGCTGCTTCTCCTGCCAAGGAATTCCAGGTTTTCTGTTCTTAGCCCCCTTTGTTTGCGCGAGGAGCAGCACGCTCGTCTCTATCCCGGGGAAGCCGAGCCCAGGGTATGTGGAGAAAGGGGCCTGTGAATCTCGCAGGATCAGTGTAAAAGTAGCTGCTTAGCCTGAGAAGCATTGTCTTTATTTTTAAAACATTTTTATTTGTCCAGGGTTTTGCACGATGGGGTTTGGATGGGAGTACTGGGGGGCTGGGAAAAAGACATCACTGTGTTATATAGATTGAAGGAGCCAGTAGATTGAGTAGTGGGTAATAGTGGAGTGTGATCCTGTGTATAAATCTACACAATATAAATGAACGTTTACACATTCTAGACGGATGGTGCAGGAGGAATGTGTAGGAGTCAACACCAGGCTCTGCACATTGACTTAATAACACAAATATGTATCCATGACATTTGTATTATTTCTTCAGTACCGTCTGTGTCCGGATATTGTTTGTTCAAAGCTTTCCCCTTGAAGGGTTGCACTGCTCAAGCTGCTCTAAATTCAACTAGTTAATGACACCATAATTATTGCTAGTTTTTCAAACAGAAGACCTCTGATGGTAGCTGTCATTTTAGCTTACATTCTTCTCTGTATTCATTGTAAAAAAGAAACCCTAGCACATTTACTATGTGTAGCAATAGGCGGGTTTGTAACAATAAGATGCCCTCCCGCCCCCTTACTGTGTCTATGGGCAGTGATGGGAGGAAGCATCATTTGAGATATTAGTCCATGGAACAATGAAATGTTAATTAAGTTTTCAGTTGTTTCCTTTAATGTGGGAATGTTGTTTATTTTTTGTCCTATTGCATGGATGCTTTAGTGTGGGCCAATTCTGCAGCTTGCTTGAGTTCTTCTATGATTGGCATTTCCTGGAGCCAAGGTGGGGTAGTTCTGCTGCTTTCTTTGGTAAAACCAGTCATTTTACTCTTCAGAGCTTTTGCTTTTACACAAGAGTTTGTTTTTCAGTGGAATGATGCAGAGTAATGGTTAGAGAGGGAGAGTGCATAAAGGAAAACTTGTTCATTTCTGTATATTTCTTTACCTGGAAATCCAGCCCTTATGGTTGGATCTCTCACTTCATGGTGCTGACATATGGCACTAAGGTTTACCTTTCAAAGAACACCAGAAAGAGAACATTACCAAAGCTGAAAATATTCTAAGCTGTTAATGCAACTGTTTAACTAAAAAAAGAGCCAGTCTTCTAGAAAACATGAAAACGTTAATGTTGTGGAAAGTCTCATTTCATACAGAAAGATGAAGTTTGATTGATAGACATGCTGTTTTCTGAGGAAAGAAGTTCAGCGATTAGAACGAATTTTCCTTTGTCAGGCAAGTGCATGTCCACCAAGCTAGCACTTATGGGAACTGTGCTGGATCCTGAACTGATTTATTACAGTTGGAAGGAAGTGGGAGGGAGTTAAACTCTTTGAGAAACTGACTAGATTTATAATAGCGCTATATCCAGGAGCGCACTCCCACTAGTTTCATGTTTTTTAATAAAACCTAGAAACAATAACAAAATCCCATATAAATTATTTGGACAGGTAAATCAGAAGTACAGTATTAATTCCTAACAAGTGGATAAAGAAACATTTATAGTTAGTACACTAAATTTAAAACATTCAGTAAAAACATAAGCCAGTTATCCATTACAGGAGAGACAAATTGCTCATAACTCTCCTTAATTGAATTCTTCAGTCCCTTCACAGGATTGCTAGATGAAACGACTAGTCCATATTTAGTAGTCTGAGTGACATTTCCCATGTGGGCTGCCTATCTTGATAGGCTATTATTTGTTAGTGTTACATGATCTCTGCAGTGGTGCACAGGATACTCTTTCTTATCTGCCATCATTTCAGTGACAGTTGCACTTTGAATGATGCCCACAGAAGTCAACTTGTGGTGGGTGGTAATGGATCCCAATTTTCCCTAAGAACTCTGATGACTCTTTTATATGAAGATTTGCCCATGGCAGAATTTCTGTGCCATGTACCATTGTTCTCAGCTGTTTTAGGTAGGACTGTGATAGATGTTTTTGTTCCTTCAAAAATGAGAGAATAAAACTTCAATTACTCCTCATTGTCACCTCCGTTTTTGTTCTTTGTTGCCTAAGAAGTGAACCCCATTAGCAGGAATCTTATTCTTTGCTTGTTCTGCTAAATGGTAATATACCATTCAAAAAGAAAATGGCTTCTGTATAATTTCATAAGTTGTCAAGCCTTACTGGGACTGGATAAGGCTGGATAAATGGGGGATTTCTTTTTGTCTCTTGTTGTCCTAAATTGGAGAAAAATATTTAGCCAGGTAATTGTCTTCCCTCCTTTTATCCTGAAATTCCACAGTTGCTCCGACCTCTAACATGGCCCAAAAGTATCTCCAAAGAATGTGTGATCTGTCCCATTCTGAGTTAGCTGACCTTCCTCTGAAAAGGAGAATGAAAATACTGATATATAGGGAATACTTTGGCTGCCATATGACCCAACCACAACAAAACATTCTGGAATACTTTGGAGAGTGGGTTCTTACTATAAGAAGTGACTTAGAGTTTGGACTGTTTCAGGTACCCTGGATTCAAAGGCCCTCTAAATGTTAGATTGATTGATGCACACGGATTGAATATTTTTTTTATCCCCCAAAAGAATCTTGATAGCAATGACACTTCATTGTATAATGCGGAGGCATCTCAAAACATTTTCATGAGAAGTGCAATATTATAACAATGCTATTTGCACTACACAGCTGACCTTTGAAAAATAACATTATCAGAGATAGGGTGGTTGGGGGAAGGCGTGCACCAGACTGAAGAGGTGTATTGGCCTTTGAAGTTAACAGTCCCTTTGCTAACAGCTCCCTTTCAAGCTAGCAGTCAAGATTCCTTTGGTGGTCTCTTGATTGATGATGGCGAACTGTGAGAATAATAAAAGGCAGTATTTGTGAGCACACTCAGCCAAATCTGAAGTCTTCTGCTCCAAATCAAAGAATAAGGGCCCGTGCCCATTTCTAGACAACATCTAGAACTTTAATCAGCACAAATAACATGGCAGTATAGTTCAGAAACTGGAGAGTGCAAATTCCACCCTTTAAAACATAGCAAGCCCCATTCCCCCAGATTATTATTTGAAGCCTGGTAGTGTGTTCTGTGCAAGATGAAATACAAAAGGCAGCACATTCCTTGCTTTGTGGAGTTTGCAATCTAAATAAATTGACAACACACAATGCATTGTGAGAACTTCCCTGTGGGTGTCTATCTTAAAGATTTTTTTTTTAATTGCTTAGAGCAATGGGTCAGTGGGTCTTGTGAAAGAACATGAAAGGAAGAGATGAGATAAATCACTAGGAAAGGCAGAAATTGTGCATAAACATGCCGAAAATCCCTTCTAATCAGTACTGTCACATGAAATATTGTTTGCAGATTTCTGCTATTTCCAATTAGAGCTAAATGTTTCCATGCATTCTATTTTCTGTAATTTCTGATGGTTTAGGATGTTGGCAATAATCCCAGGCAAAACTAGTTAAATTTATGACATGCCACACTCTTAGGACTCTTGTGCAAACCATGTAATTAAAAAAAAATTCTCAACAGCTCAGCTATGGTATTTTCTTATCCCCTTTTCACATACTCATTCGTGCGACCGCAGCCAACCATATCTCACCTATCACGGCACACTTCCAATTAGACCTGTGCAAGCTTGAAGGGTCTTGCCAACTTTTTTGGCATGGAGAAGACGAATTGATGCTTTGTGCAGTGTGAAATTGCAAAATGTTCCTCTAGAAAAACTCATGACAGCTAGGATTGTCTCTGCTTAAATATTCAGTACTTGTAAGAGGAAATTGTTGCACTTCAAGTATGCTTAAAACCTCCAATACTTCAGATCACTATCAGCTGAATACCTGTTTTTTAAAATAACACACATGGTTGTTTTTATGAAATATTGAAGGATTCCTTTTGCTGTAGAACTGTATATCCTGCAGAAGTTCAATATATTTGCTTGGAACTTGTTATCTTTGCATGGTAGCTTGTGATGCAGTAAAAGCTGTAACTAGCATTTGCTCAGAGCCTCATATTGTGCTATCCCCAGCTGTCTGTTGGATTTTAAAAAAGTAGAAGAGAGAGTGAGCTTGGGTAAATAATTTTGGCCTACTGAAATATGATTAGAGTGGAAATCCAAATGCTGAAATATGAGACTCTTTTTCTACCCAATTAAAATAACTTTACAAAATGGCATTGCTAATCTGCTGTCTTCCAAACTGTCATTAATTATTTCATTTATATATGAGAGCCCAAATGCTATCAATGCAAGTGGGAGAATTTTCAGGGCTAGGAGTTTATTGGGTCTGACTGACTGCTGGTTATGTTTTTCCTTACATAAACCAGTTACACTGTTCTCTATTCATTTGGATAGGTAGCAGCATCCTGCCACACTGTGTTTTTTGGCATTGCAATCTTGGACTGTAGTAAGCAGTGCCAAGACAAATATGCTCTAAAAGTACATG